CATGCTAGCAAGCTTACTCAACATTACATTATTGATGCCTATGTCAAGGTTCCCCCTCTAGTCGCCAAGAGATCTCTGGCAACAAAGGTTTCCTTGCAATATGTGCTAGATTTTTGAGAGGATCAAGCACTCCAGCAGCAACAATAGCATGCGCATAGGTGAAGGGAAAATCTGAGGAGTCAAAAGGAATGGATTTGGCTATTCTTTTGGGAAGTTTCAAGCTGAAGTCAATTTGTCTACTCAAGAAATCAATTGAAACCTTGGGCAAGGAGATGAGGAAGTAATAGGAGCTCATCACATATTGCAGCTCCAAGCTTATTCCACTTCCATATTTGCTATTGGCACCAGGCTGAGGTACTGCTTACAAAGCACTCAGTTCAAGCAATAGTGATGATAATAGTGATGACGAAGAAATGAGCGACAAAGCTCCCAATCTTGAGGTCAGCAATTTGTAGGTGAGATAAATGTTTGTTCTTTGGCCTGGTCAGCATGATAGCACATGGGGGATCTTATACTTTCACCGAGTTTGGGACTTTACCAAAAGCAGCTATGCTTTTCTGGGGTTACAAACCAAGCAACCCTCCAAGTTGTTTCTCACGGGATGGAAGGATTAACTTTGGATTGGAGTTCAGCACACCATAGAAAGCTCGTATCGTGCTTTGAACTGATTGATCGAACTTTTTTTTGCTAAGCCTTGCTTTTCTTTCATCTAAACAACTGAATCATCTTTCTTTGTTGCTTTTACATAAACTTGATGATCAATGGTGTCCGAAGGTGGATTCCTTTGAGCTTGTAGTTTGCTCTTTTGATGGAACGGTCAATCTATGTGAGTTTCTGCTAGTACTTTTAAACCAGTGGTGAAAGTCCATGACACGGATGCTAATGTGATCTCTTGGAATAGGCATGTGGTTCTCAAGAACAAAAACTTCACTGTCAAGTTCCCCAAATTCCCAATTTCAAACAGCAACTCACCATTGGTGGTGATGATGGCATCATCCATGTTTGGCATTTAGACTCTCTCTTGTGCTAAAATTCTATACTTCCTCGATATCTAAATTTTGCAAGATTGTCATCTTATTTACAGTACTATTTACCATTCTGTAGCAATAACTTCCTGGTCTTCTCATGAAAGTTCCATATTGGTAGCAACATCGGTTGACCACCAGTTTTTGTAGCGTTTGTCTCTCTTTTCTTGGTTTAGCTTACATTCTACCATTGTTATGAGCAGCGTGTGGGATTTGGAAGCTTTCCCAAAAGTTTTTAGATCAATTTTTTAATATTCCAAAAAGAGGTAAATCTATCTTTTTTCTTCAAGGACAAAGAAACTTAAAAGTTCCACGAAATATACTATTTGATATTTTCTCTTTACCTTTTGCTCTTTCCCAAGATTTTTTTATTTTTTGGTCTGAACTACCTTCTAGTATTTCTTCTTCATCTGCAGTGTTTCCTTTTTATAGCATGTCAATCATTTATAACTCTCATGATTCTCATTCTCAGTCTGATGTTAAGTTGAGTGTTTTATGTCCTCCTTATACTAATCTGGATATTGAGTATGTGTATGAAGTTGAGAATTTTATTTTTATTTCATTAACAAAGTCTTTAATGAGTTCTAGTATTAAGTATTTCTTGTTCTAATGGTTGAGTTACTTTGGCCAGAGTTTTGGGTTGAGTGTATATCCCCATTTGTTAGTGCTATGAAGAACCTTTGCTTTACTATTGCTGCTGAGGAGTTTATGTATTCCCTTAAGAGTGTGGATGTTATTATTGATTTTCCCATTTTAAATTTTGAATTGTGTGTTGAAGAAGTTGAGTGGTGTGAATCTTTTGCTTATATTGTGGTGGTCAAAGTGTTTTATGATGGAAAATCCCCTATTTTCTAAACTTTTGAGCATATGTCCTTCTTTTGATTTCCCTATTTTTTCATTGCCAACTGCTACAAATTCCTCTTCCAATGCTTTATTATCCACTTTTTCCTCTTCCACACTATTTCTTCATTAATTTTTCTCACTTTCTCTTATGTGCCCTGACACTTCAAACATTTTTGGAGGGGGTAGAGGAGATGGATGGGAGCCTAGTTGCAATGGTGGGACGAGGGAATACAATAGTGAAACAAGGACAAATAACATAAATTGTGGAGTGAGGATGAGTATAGCAAGTCCAAATGGAACATCTAACTTTGATGTATTGAGGCTAAACGAATGTGATAGTGGAGTGAAACTAAATATAAATGGCAAAGTGAAGACAAGTGTAGTGAGTTCAAACAAACTTAATGCTTCATAACTTTTTTCTTTCAACAAAGGGATAAAGAGGATGTGGAGGACAAATGGAGTGAGTCTAATCTCCCATATACAATGCTATACAAAGACAAAAGGGCAAATTTTACTTATGGTCATGAATTCAAGTTAACAGTGGTTTTGAAGGATTATTGGCAGGTAGATTTAAACGTTATGATGTATCATTTGTTGCAATGGCATTTCATGGATTATAGTGGTTCTTGAAATCCCTTGCTTTGGTTCAACCATCTGAAGATAAAAATAGAAAATAAGTGCAGTTTATTTTAATAATCTTCCAAGTTATTTATTGATTTTTATAATTTTAAATTACGTTTAAAATATGCTTGGATTCTGATATACTTTTTCAAATAATTTCCAAGTACAAGATGGAGCTTGAACCCAAGTTTAGTCATGTAAAGTGTTCTTTATAAATGTAAAAAAACTTATAAATTTTGTAGTTATTACATTTCTCTCATACTTTAGTCTATCAAACACAACATTTATTTATAAAATTAGATAAATTAAAACCAACTCACTTATTGTTAATTTATCTAAGAATAAAACTTGATTTAATTATAAATATTAATTTATTTTCTCTAGAAAAAGATAAATGTATTAGTGTCTATCATAATATAAATTTTGCTAGTTAAATTTAATATTTTTTCTTAAATACAAAATATCTCAACTTTTACTTATAAGCATGATTTGTCTTTATCTTTTTGAAAGTAATATTGTTTTTATGACTATAAAATTAAAATAACTGTTCAAATAATAAAAACATCCATGCATAAGTATACTATACATAATAAATTTCAAATATTTTTATATTAATAAAAGTAATAGTCATAATATTATAAAATAATTAATTTTTGTAATATTTATTTTTAAAAGTAATAAAATAAAATTTTATTTATTTGTAAAAAACATATTTATAAAAATTTAATTTATTATATTTATAATATTCTTTATCCAATTCAAGTTTAGTTTTTATTGATTTTTGGATTAATAAAAAAGACAAGCTAAACAATGTAATTCATATGGAGCCATAAAATAATTATATTAAAATTTGTATTTATTTTTTGAAATTATAATTTGTTCTTCGCCGAAATTCCTAGTATCACTAATAGTTGGAGTGAAAATAAGAACAATTTAAAATGTATATCCTTTGTTGGTTGGCCACAAAAACATAATATGGCAGTAAATAGTGCTTTTGCTATGACTTTAGTTGATTGTGAATTGTTATCATAATATATGTTAACTTATAAAACAAATAAACTTAAAATCATATTAAAACTCAATAGTGAAATAAATTTAAATAATCATATAATTTAATAATATATGAATAAGCCCTTGATAATTACATAACTAAAGACAAAAGCACATAATAAGTGTAGTTTATTTTAATAGTCTTTCAAGTTATTTATTGATTTTTATAGTTTTAATCTACTTTTAAATTATACTTGGATTTTAGTATACTTTTTCAAAAAAATTCCAAGTAAAAGATGGAGCCTAAATCCAAGTTTATTCATATAAAGTGTTTTTTAAAAAATTTAAAAAACTTATAAAGTTTGTAGTTATTATATTTCTTTCATAATTTTATCTATCAAACCTACAATTTATTTATAAAATTAGATAAATGAAAACCAACTCACTGAGTTTTTATTTCATTTAAGAATAAAACTTGATTTAATGCTAAAATTAATTTTTTTTCCTAGAAAAACATAAATATATTAGTGTCTATAAATTCATATCACAATATAAATTTTTTAGTGAAATTTTTTATTTTTTCTTAAATACTAAATATCCCAAGTTTTACTCATAGCCATGATTTATCTTTATCTTTTTTAAAGTAATATTGTGTTTGCAACTCTAAAATTAATAAAATATTCAAATAATCAAAACACCCATTCATAAGTACACCATATATAATAAATTTAAAATAGTTTTATATTAATAGTAGTAATAGTTATAATAAAATAAAATAGTTAAACTTTATTTATAATATTTAATTTTCTAAATTATTAAATTAATATTTTTTAAAAAACACATTTTTAATAATGAAAATTTTTATATTTATAATATAGTTTTTTCAATTTCAGTTTAATTTGTTTAGTTTGTAAATTTGGTATGAATATGAGATCTTAAATTACTATAAATTAATATTTTATAGAGTTGCAATAAATATCATCTTAAAATTTTAGTGTTGTGTTACAGGTCAATCATCACCCTTTCAACCAGCCATTGCATGTGGCTCTTGTTCTTCAGCTGATCCTCCAGGACATTTGACAATGCATTGCAGAACACCATTCTGATTCACTGAGCAGTGAATACAAGTCCCTTGGATAACTCGATACAGGATGATAAACGCCAGCTCCATCCCGTATAACAAGGCGCAAATCGCTCCATATTGCTTGACGTTTGCCACACCAGTGCACAGGAACTGTGACTGCTCACATCCTGACAATAGAAGATGTTCATCTTCAAGTTTGCGATCATATCGCCACCCCGAAACATTGAAACTGCCATCTGCTGTTGGTCTTTTACAATAGCCTCCATACACTCTGCAATCGAGGACATGAGAAGAGGCAGTATAGTATAGCAGGTCTTTTTGGCCCACAGATTGAAATTCTTGGCTTGAAGAAACTCATCCATTTCTTGGTGCTGAAAAAGCCAGCCGGATCCACACCTATTTCCGTTGGTATCAAAATACATTTAGGGTTCTACCTAATGGAGGTTGACGCTAAGCAGCTTCATAGTGCTCTTAGCGGCCGCTACACGGACTTCAGCCGAGGCTGGCACGAAGCTGTCCCATGGCCGGAGCTCCTCGACTCGCGCCCCTCTTTCTGCTGCCTAGGCCGGCCGTCCGTGGCTCTCATTACAGGTATGCTCCGCCGGTGCTTCAATTACAAAGACTTGGTGCTCACTGGTAGCCTGGGGGGAAAGTCTCACCTTTTAGCCATGGCCGTCTGTGAGCACTACCAAAGCGGCCTCCAGGAGACCCATCGCATCGTCGCGCTCTTATTCCACGACGAGGTGCCCACCAGCCCGTCCGCCGCTCTGGAGCTTGTGATTCGGGCCCTGCTGCTAGCCTATGCGGACGACGAGGGCAGGATGCGGGTGATTCTCGATCTTCGCAGCTGGCAGCATGTGGGATCGTTTTTGATGTTTAACCGCCCGGTCCTCGTGGTTGACCGGTGGGAGGAAATAGAGCTTGGCAATGGCGAAGTCCACCGCCGCATGGTGGAGCTGCTAAGGATGACAACCTTTCTCAAGTGCGTGAACTGTTCCAGCTCGCAGGCGCGGCACATGTTTAACGATCCAACCGAGTTCTACAACGTTTTCAGTCCCGACGAGACACTCCAGTACCTTGGGAAGTGGCTGGACATCAAGAGAATTGATGAAGAGCTGCTTCGACGGGTGATGTGCGTCACAGGTGGCCTCCCGCTCTTCGTGTGGTACTTTGTGGAATCCATCATGCAAGCCAACAACAAAGGATCCTCATCGTCATCGTCATCTGGCTCACAATTGTTGGACTGGCGAGCAGCAGTGCGTGGGTTCATGCAAAAAGAATGGGTGGCGAAGATGCGGACGACGATTGCCAGCTGCGAGGACACTAGCCGGTTCGCGCGGTTCGTGAGCTTTGGACTGCAGGCAAACACGGGGCACTGCTCCGATATCGACATCCGTTTCCTCGTTCGGGATTCCAAGTGGGTGCTTCACCCCGTCTCGGACTACGCCAGGGACATTTACTGGACGTGCCTGCAACGAAGGAAGCTGCTGCATAAGTGTGAACCTGTGTTATGCAATGCTGTGTATGATTCACTGAGGGACGTGCATGGGAATACAGACCGGTTCGAGTGGCTGCTCAAAAAGCTAATCATCGGGGCATTCGAAGATACGCCTATCTTTCCTCAGCGCTTGACGCGCTCGAGACAGTATCAGCCGCTGGAGCTCTTTTGCGACAAGATCGACGGCAGAGTGTCGGGGGTAAAGGCGTACGCTCCAGAAGCAGACACCAGTCTACCGTTAGTAGACTTTGTGGTGAAAAAAGGCAGCTCTCGGGAACCCGGGGAAGAAATAACACTGGGAAGGATATCGGCTGGTTCATATGCTTACGGAAGTGATGATCTTGTTCATAGGTTGCCCGGTGACAACATTTGGACGCCAGCAGCAGCAAAGGCATGCAAGTGGAAATTTGTGTGGATTCTGCTGCCATGGCAGATCCAGGGGTTTACGCCGCGGACGCACTCCTTCCTCGGGGGTGCGATGGAGGAGATTGCGGTGGGCTTGGACGACGTTGCAAAGCACTTGAGAGGGACTTCGCATGATCCTGTGTCTAACGTAATCGACGACTATATCGCTGCGGTAAGGCGTACCTTTTCCTCCTCACTAAAAACTGAATGCCTCCTTGTTTTACAGATGCGAAGACTGATTTTCTAGCTTTAACAAGTATACTGCACATCATATTCAATGTAAAATTTGGCAGCATATGTTTATCATGGATTTTGCATTCTTGATATGATAAGTAATTATTTGTGTTGTGATCGTGCTGTATAGCAAAAGTGAACATCTTGGCATTTACATTGTTAGTCCAAGAGATATCCTCCACCTTTCAAGATCAAACCAAGAGACTATCTGGACGTAAGCATTATTTTTTTTATATGGCATTGTGAAGTTATCAAAGCTATTCCAAACAAGGACAATTCACAGTGCTGCCCTTGCAGCTCGACTTTTTCACATCTGGTCTGTCTTCGACTACGTAGTTGATCGATACCTCCTCTATCACTTCTTGTCAAAATCTGGCTTTGGTACCTTGGCATCCAAAGCTTTGTTATTTATCTGGTTGACAGTTAAATCAAGTCGAATACACAGACAGAAACTAGCAAAAAATGGATGCCTATCTACAGCAAAACCTTGAGTATCTGACCTTCGTGACACACGCTTTAAACGTGTCGCTGTTGTACTCAATCCGGATTTTCTCGACTTCCTTGCAGATTGTTCTGAAAGAGGGTCTTTTTCTAGGATCATCGTGCCAACATTCCTCAATTAAACTACACAAAAGGCATAACTTTGATCACTTCAGGATGCAATCGAAGGGAAAAGCACAAAAAACCGACTTACTCTTTGAGGCCTTCAGGATAGTATCTTGGTTTAATCTTGAAAGGCGGTCTCTTTCCGTCCGCATAGCTCTTAGCAACTTCTTCTTCACCGAGTTTAGGAAATGGAGGAACTCCTTCCATCATCTGGAAGCTCAAAAACTTCAGCTCCTTGAACAAGTAACAAAGCATACCTCTTGGACAATCAATGCAAACGAGAAGACGTCCACTTTGCTGTCATAGTCTTCACAACGATACAGCTCAGGTGCCATGTATCGCCCTGACATAAGTAGAAAAACTATTCACGACTTCAATGCATCTTTTAAGTTACTCGTACCAGAATCTGGAACAAATTGCCGGTCATTGAATGCATACTTTGTGAATGCGAAGTCCGTGATTTTCAAATGCCCTGCCTTGTCACGCAACAAGTTACTGATACCTTAGTTGGAGTGAGAAATATTAAGATCATGTGTCGGAAAGCAAATGGTCGAGATGAACCTGGGCTTCAAGTTGCTGTGAATGACAGGCTCCGGTTTAAACTCATGCACATAGTTCAATCCCCTGCACGAACAGAGCGTATAAGAAAGAAAAGCTGATAACTTAGATCGACACAATGCTAAGATCACCTCGCAATGTCCAAGGCGAATTTGAGCGCCTTCTTGGGCTTGAGGGGCTTTCCTTTCTTCTTCATGTATGATTGGAGATCTCCCTGCTTTGCGGAAAGAAAATGTTCTCAGAATATCTATCGCCAAATGAAAACGAGTATAAACCTTTGGGAGATGCTCCATCACAAGCATGACGGGAATGCTCTGTGTAACAGCACCGAGAAACTGGACCACATTCGGGTGCCGAAGCATCAAGGCTAGAGAGAGCTCGTTGATAAACTCCTTTCTGAAAAGCGTTGGATCAAAAGCAGGATAAGCAAAGTACAGGGATCTAATACGTACAGCTTGTCATCTCCTGTTTTCGTGTCGATCGAGATGACTTTTACAAAAACTTTGGTTCCTCGCCACTTTCCAATCGTGAAGGAATCCTGCCAACCAAACGCAACGCACTTTAGTCTATAGTTAAAAAATGAGACAAAATACCTCGCTTGACACTGAGAGCTCCTCTCGATCGATTTCATACTCGGGAACACTGTAGGAATTGGAAACTCTCATCGGAGAAGTATCCTGTGAATTCCAATGCAGGTGGTGAGTGAATTCGCGAGAGAAAACGCAAAGAGCAAAAGAGCTTACTGGCAATTGCGCACCGTGGGCGAGTAGAATTTGCGACACTTCATCGCATTTATAGTGCTCAGCATCCGCCAGAGGCTGCGATAAAAGCGAACCAAAAAAAGAGTTTCATGACAAGAAAGAAACAAAGAGGAAGAAAAGGACAGTAAGATCTTACAGTGCTTCCCCATCGATCTCTCGCATTTACATCAGCTCCCTCGGCGATGAGAAGCTCCACAGTCTCTTTCTTCCCCTCGCAAGCCGCCACATGAAGCGCGGTCCTGCTATCGAAATCCGTGCTATTCACATCCATGCCCTTGCCGAGAAGCGCTCTCACTCCAGCCACATCGCCCAGCGAGGCGCTCCACAGCAGCTGGATCACATCGCGCGAGGCATCGTCATCCCCAGCGCCGCTCTCCATGTCGCCGCTATTGTCCGCTGTTCTTGACTCGCCGGATCCCTCCGGCGCCATGGACGACTGGCGCCCCAAATATCGGATCACTGCCATGGCGAGCTAGCGAGCTCCTGCGCGGAAGGAATGCCCTGGACTGGATCAATCAAGCACGTTGCCGGTGATACTCACAGATCCGGGAGCCCTGGGAGGGATTCCCTGCTTGACGCGGCTCACAAAACGAAAACGCGGTCACTTGCCCCCGCTTGCCGCTTTCCACCGTCCACGCAAATCTTTCAATGAATTTTCTAAGCTAGCCCGTGCGAATATTCCTACACGTTGCGAATATTCCAGTAATATTCTTTAATTTATTTTCAAAAACCTTAAAGCGACCGAATTAATCTTTAATAATTTACTTTATCCTTTTAGAAACCTAAAAGAAATTTTAAAGTTAGTGTGAGAACCCTAATCCAGAGCATATGCTCATATTTGAATTTGAATTTTAGGGTATCCTCTTCGGGCTAGAAGATCAAGCATACAACCATAGTGTTGCGGCGATGGACTAATCCCATAGTCGGCCTTCATGCTCACCAAGTGTTCCCAGCCTTGCTGGAGAAGCCCCGCGTGGCTAAATGCAAACAAGAGGCACGTAAAGCTCACCTCGTCTGGAGCATGGCCTTGGAGCTGCATCGATCTGAAAAGCCCCTCGGCATCGCCAAAATGCCCGTTCTGGGCATACGCTGCGACCATCGCTGTGTAGGAGACCAAGTTCCTCTGGCTCTCCATCGCGTCGAAGATCTCCCTGGCCGCTTCCACGCTCCCGCACCGCCCAAACATTCCAATGCTCCCGTTTTGCAGATCCAAGCTCTGATGATCGAGAGTACTATGCACGGCTTTGGCAATTGCCAGAGATCCCAGGCAAGAACACGCTTCCAGCGCCGCGAGCATCGTGATCTTGTTGGGCGTCACGCCTTCCAGATCCATTTCTCTGAAAATCTCGAGCGCTGGCCTCCCTTGACCGTTTCGCGCGAATGCCGCCAACATCGCCGTCCACAGCACGACGTCTTTCTTTGAAGAAACTATGCCATCGAATATCTCTCTGGCATCGCCGGCTCTTCCCAGCCGGCCGTACAACTGGATGAGCCCCGTGGCTACAACCACATCGGGCCCCTGTACGGCGTGGCGGAGCCGCTGGAGTAGCTCCTCCGCCGCGGCGCCGCTGCCCATCACCGCCACGAATGTCACCCTGTTGGGCTTGATCCCCTCGCAATCCATCCGGTGGAAGAGATCTATGGCCTCGCTGACGTGATCGCAGGCCGCGAGCGCCGAGTTCCACGACACGATGTCGCCCTCGCCGGCGATTCGATCGAAAACGGCCCTGGCATCGCGCGCGCTACCGCATTTGCCATAGGCGTTCACGAGAGAATTCGCGATGGCAAGGTCGCGATCGAGCCCCAGCTCCGCGATCAGGGCGTGGATCTCGTGGGCGCGATCCAGAGCGGCCATCGCCGCGCAGGAATCCAGCGCCGCCAGGAAAGTGATCTTGTCCGCCCTGGCGCCGGCGTGGATCATCTCCCGGAACAAGGCGATTGCCTCGCGGGGATGCCCATTGCGGGAAAATGCCGCGATCATCATGTTCCACGAAAAAACGTTCTTGAATGGGATCTGATCGAAGCAGGAGTGCGCAAGATCCACGCGGCCGATGTTTCCATACATCTGGACAAGAAGATTTCCCAAGAAACTGTCGCTACCATGGCCGCTCCGGCGGATGTGATCGTGGACGCAAGTGCCCAGGCGGAGATCTTTCCCGCACGACCGGAGAATTGGCGCGTAGATCGCTGAGTCCTTCTTGATGTCCCCGCACACCAGCCCATCCAGCTTCCCCTCCAAATCTCTCGCAAGATCACCTTCTCTTTCTTCTTCATCGTCTAGCTCTCGTTCTTGGGGATCTTGCCTCGATGAAACCTCTTCTTTGTTGATTGATTTCTTCTTCTTGGGCTTTCGGTTGGGTCGATCCCCACGAATCTCCTGGCTCTTGCGCTGCTGCTGCTGGTGCCTGTGGATCGGTCGCTTGAGCTGCTGCTGCTGGATCTGGAGCTTGTGCTGGAGCTCCTCCTCGCGGAGGATGCGATCGAAGGCCGCCTTGCGATCCGCGGGCAATGGCACCGCAGCCGGACGCCTCAAGGAAATGCCCGGATCCGCAGAGAATGTGGGTGGATTTCCCATGCCCTAGTTCTCTCGAGCATTGTAAACCCTAATTTTTGAAAACTATTCTAGCATATTCGATCTTACCCTTATCGTTCTCGCGAAGAACCCTAATAGTTTCCCATCGATTGTCTTGAGATCGAGCCGATCGATCAATCGATCTCGAAAGAATTCAAAAAGAATCCCACCTCGATCCCGCAATCAAAAGTTGTCGAATTCATCCACCGGCTGCGCTCCATCCTCGCCCGCCTTGAACAGCTCCAAGTGCTCGATCGCCTTGGGCAAGATCTCGCGCACCGCGGGGATTTGCATGAGCGAGCTCCGCGACGCCGCCTCCATCGCCTTGAGCACGTCCGGCGACTTGAGCGCCGGGTGATCGCCCGCATTGATCGTGAGGTTGCACAGCAGCACCACCGGTTGATACGCCGACTCTGGGAAATACGTAAGCTGGACGAGATGGCTCGCGCCATTCGCCTCGAGGATACTCCTCGAGTGTTGATCCTTGAGATAGTTCTCCGCCACCGTGAACTTGAGCAGCGCCGCCGCCGCCTCCGACGCCACCGTGATCTCCCTCGCGAGCTGGTCCGTGATGGGCTTGACGATGTGCGTCTCCTTGCTTGGAAAGATCCTGGCCAGGCACCCGATGGCTCTCATCGCCGGGATCTGGACGTCGGGATCGTCGGACTGGATCACCTTGAGCAGCTGCTCGATCACCGCTCTCACCGCCGGGGATGTCATCTTGAAGGCCGCCCGCCGGAGCTCCTGGTCGTGCTCCGCCACCGCCGCGATCTCACACACCGCCATCACCGCGTTCTTCTGGACCTCGCCTTCCTTCTCCATGAGCTTGGCGAAGCACAGCAGCGCCCGTGTGTCCGTGATGCTCTTGCAGTTCTTGATGTTGTTGGTGGCCAGCTTCCAGAGCGCTCGCAGCACCTCGGCTCTCATCTGGTAGATCACCTCCGGGTCTTCGTGCTCGCGCTCGCGCTTCTCCCGCAGCGAGGAGCCGTGGTAGTAGGACTTCCCGTTCTCGGAGCTGTGCGTCCGTGCGTGAGAATTCGGAGCTCTCGTCGTCGTCCCCAGCGACGCCACCCGGCCCGAAGGCTTGTCTTCCGAATGCTGCTGCCCGCCACCGCCACCGCCACCTTCCTCGTGCCATGGCTTCCCGGGAGATCCCAAAGACCGGCTCTGCTGCGCCATCCTCGTCTTCACCACCGTGTGCATGCTCGTCTTGGACGTCTCATCGATGGTGTCGTTGATGAGCGCCACCAGCAGCCGGATCCCCTGCGCGTTCCCAAACGCGCTGCGAGCGTCCGTGTCGTGCGAAACAATCGCCGCTATCGCTCGAGCCGCTTGCGTCTGGACTTTCACCGGCGCCACCGAGAGGACGTGGACGAAAGCTTGGATCGCCCCGGCCTTGACGATCTCTTGGGCTCGCTGCTGGTCGCGAGCTAGCTCTCCCAGAGCTTTCGCGGCGTTCTCCTGCCCAGCCGGGGTGCCTTCCTGGAGTAGCTTCATGAGAGGAGGCAGGCCACCCTCGTCGATGATGATCTTCCCATTTCTCTCGTTGTCCTGCGCTAGCGACGCTAGCGTGCTCGCGGCATCAGCCTTGTCTTCCGCAATTCCTGCCTGGACCCGGGCGATTTGCTGCCAGATCATAGCCAGGATGGGATCGTTGGCAGCAATCGGGGGCATTCCACCCAAGTCGTCGCGGCCGGACGAGATCGTGAGCAGCCAGTTGAGATCTTCCGTGGTGCTGAGCAGCAGGCGATTGATCTTCTGGAAATCCGTGGCGGACGTGATGGTGATGACGCGCTTGAGAACGCCGCCCTTCTTACACTTCCTTACCAGCGCCAGCGTCTTCTCCATCGTCTTCTTTGCCTCGTCCATCATCCGCCGGGTAGGATGCTCGTAGAACGCGCCCGCGGGATTCGTGGAGAGCCGCGCGGCCTTGCGGAGCAATTTCCCGATCTTCTCCACTGTGGTGCCAATGTCGCTGCATTCCTGCTTGAACGAATCGGCCTCCTCTGTCGCGCGCTTCACCGCCTCGGTCAGCTGGATGGGTTGCCGCAAGTAATCTCGCCCTTCCATCCCTCCCGCTCGAGAGAATCCAGATGACCTAGCACCGCATTGGATCTTTCTCGCCGTTGAGCGAGATCGCCTGGAATTCCTACAGTAGACCCTGATTCCGTCGCGTCCACGCCGCCGGGTCGACAATCACCTGGAAAGATTGGCTCGCGCTTCGCCGATCGAAGCCGCTAAGAAATCGCTATGGCGCGCCCAGAGATCGAAAGGAAGAGACAAGGCGTCCAACGCCACACACCAATGCGCGCACAGAGGGAGGAACTAGTCATCCCTCACACTCCCTCTTGGGCGTACGGCAGGTACGGCAAACCCCATGGACATTCCGTGCCAGCTCAGCTCTCCATTCCGACCCACATGGCATAGCTCAATCGTCACCGTCTATTTTCATTAAATCTATCTACATAGCGTTCTACTCTTTGTTCTATCCTCCAGAGGTCGGCCTCTATGAACTGGACACACTTATGGATGACGTTGGGCTTGATCTTCGTGATCTTGGAGAAAGCGTAGAGAAGGACGAAGTAATCGCCATATACGTACTTGGTGGATTTCCGTAAGTGGTCCAGCAGTGGAAAAATCGCGTAAGAGTATGCCGCTGCCGATCCAATCCCGTTTGGTAAGCTGCTCGGGACGAGCTTGAAGCCGCAAGCTTGGAGCTCGTGAGAGATGGAGTCGAGGAGCTTGTTTTTGGCCTGCTGGATGCGTCGGAGCTCCCGGTTCTCCGATGTAACTTCCTCCAATTCCACCGCTGCTGCTGGAGTGACGATCTCGCCGAGTTCTTGCTCTTGGAGATCCTTGTTTCGATCGTTGTCAAGTAACTCCCTTGATGATCCCGACTTTTGTTTCTGGATGCTTGGAGCTCTCGACCACGCACCGCTTCCAAGCGTCAGCTCGTCGCTTTCGGAGATGTTACGGTGCTGTGTCGTTGTCACTTCTTCCTCTTTCTGTTGCTTGGGATCGTCATCACCAGCTTCGCTGATGGGATCCTGAACAAACACGAATTATAAAAAGGACGAAGGACAGTGGAGAATGACATAACTAACAGACTTACTTTCAGCGAGAGCTTCTCGAAACATTCCCAGAAATGATCGTATAGCATTTCTTCGTCAGGGGGGTTTCTCGTCCCCGCGAAAACTTTTTCTTGGCAGTAGTTCAGATAGTCCTTGAGTTCCGCCTCTGCAAAACAAAAACACTCGCGAATGAATGACAATTCCAGAAACCAAAAGAGATCGACGCGTACCTGGTCTTAGAGCGTCCTCCAGCAACTCTTTCTCAATGGTTTCCAGCTGATCCTGAAAATTTGCTCGGCGAGTGCTTGTCACGTCGAGGCGCTCCAAAAAGGCTGGCCAATACAAGATGCTCACCGCGTTGCCATATACGTTGTACAAGATCTTGAGCGCCACGATCAACATAGCGGTGACATAGGCAGACGTTGGAAACGCTCGCTTCCGAGCCGAGAGCCAAAGTCCATCCGGAGTATACCACTGGTATAGCCGCTCCAAAATGCCCATAACTTCATCTTTCCCAATCCCCAGTTTCTTCAGCAGACTGAGTGAGATGGCCTGGAAGTTCACCGTAGGTAGCTCGAGTTCCAGACGACTTGCGACGTGAGCGGCCAGCAGCTCGATCATGCTGGCGTTGCTCAAGAACAGTGGCCGGAACAAATTCCTTGGATCGAGCTCGGCGACGTGAATGGCTTTCAAGTCGGGCCCGGAGAAACGCTTGGGTTGCATGCTGAGAAACGCCGTCAAGTAAGGCAGCGATCCTTGCCCGGCCCAAGTCGAGATATCAGTGGCAAGAACAGGCTCGCGGATTACGTAGCACGCCAAGAACACCATCGCCAGAGTAATCCGGAGAGGAAGCCGACGCTTGAGAGAGTCCGTCCATACCCTCGACATCTTCAATCCAGTTTGCGTGAATGGAACTTTGTCGAGTCTTTTGGCTTTCTTCTTTCTCCTGGGCTTAGCGTGCTTGCTCTTGTTGGTGCCACCACCACCATTTTTTGCCTAGAACAACTGAAAGCTTTCTTCCTTCAAACGAAAATTTTGTGAGAAAAGATCGAGAAATGCTTACCTCGATCTTCTCTGGTGCCGGAAGAGTGGAGCTTTCCTTCTTGAGCTTGAGCTTCTTGGCCTTCTCCTTGAGACTCCGGGCATCGGCCAAAAGAATAGCCTCGCTCGCCCATTCTCGTTCAAACACCCGCGTGGAAGCCACGAAGCGCAGCCAGATCGGCCCAACGATGCGGCAGATCAAAGGACTCACCCCGAAATTCTCCACAAGAGACTCGCACTGGAGCTGGATGATCGTCTGCAAGCCCTGGACGTAGTACTCGCGGATGTGCGCGGCGAGGCGATCGGGCAGCTCCGAAACATCATACATCTGCTGCGATCCCGACCAGATGTGGACCTTGTCCGCCGTGACGAATTGCGAGGCGAGAGAATCCCTCATCCTCTCCAGCGCCGCCTCCTCCTCGCCATGCCTCTGCGACATCGCGCGCAGCAATGCCTCCTCCCTCGCCCTGGCCGCGGCCGGATCGTCGATATTTCGATCCAAATCCCCCGTGGCTCCTCGCAGCATCTCGTTGAGCTTGCGGAGCTGCTCCTCCTGTTCTTGGCGCTCCACATTGTGATGCCGTGCATAGGCGAATGTTCGCCTTCCAGTGGCGTCCTGCCCTAGCGTCCCATCGAAATCCCCCAAATCCTCCTCCATGAAATTCTGGGATTGCGTGCCACAGGCAGTACAGTAGTGGAATCCATCGCCTCCCTTCTGGAGTCCCACGTTGCCGCACGTCTCGCACACGGCCGAATCCATAAACCCTAAATTTCAATTTTAGGGTTCTTCATTCTTTTAGGGATGGAGGAGGACGAGCTCGACGAGCTCTTGGACACAATGCTGGGCCGGAGCGCGAGCGCCATAGAGGTTTGCAGCACCAGCAGCGCATCTCCTTCAAATCCAGGGATCACATTTTCATTTCCCGGCTGGGGAATCGATATGCACACGGATTCCAAGCGCCAGACGGCGGTGGTGAGGCATTTTGGAGGCGATTCCAAGAAATCTTCCTCTGCCAGGCAGAGATCCAAGTCGAGCGGGGCGCTTCTGGTCGCTGGGAGCCCTGCTTCCGAAATTCCAGACGAGGTTCTTCTCAAAATCTTTACTTTCTTGGAAGTGACCGACTTATCGGCCTCGCGGCAAGTTTGCAAACGGTGGTACCTTCTGTGCTCATCGGATTGTCTCTGGGAGAGATTTCTCACCTTGAAAGCTTCGAGCACCAGCGAATTACCCAGGTATGTTTTCTCCTTTCTCCTTGCTAAAAAAAAAAAAATCGTTTTTCTTCCATCTTTTTCCTTCAAGGTGGCTAGAACTCAAGCACAGCATCTCATCGTTCCGGATCAGTGCTCGCTATACATATTCGAGAAGAGGCTACGAGATTTTCATCGAAGCGATCGAGGCATGGTGGCGAGATGGACAACCGCACGGGAAATTCAGCTCGTCGGTGCTCTGTCCATTGATACGCAAAGTCACGCTCTCGGACTGGTGTGTTTTTTACGAGGTTCTAAGCGCTGCGTTTGCAAAGCGTGCAGATACTCTTGCAGTCGAGCTCCAGAAACACTCTCAAAGCGGTGGTCGTAGCCACTTTGATCCGTCTCCGTCGTCGACCGAGAGTTTTCACGGCGATGGGGTTGCCGGTGTGGAGATTTGGAGCCGCCTTTGCGGCTTCTGGGATCGTTATATCTCATGGATCAAGCTGGTCTCTCTACACTGCGCAGATTTAAACTACGCTGTCCGACTCGAGAGAGTCCGGTAAGTTTGTAGCAACGCTATGGCCTGTTTATCTCATCTCGTTTCGTTGCTGCCGCGCGCCACCGCCACCGAGTACTCACTTGCAGTACTGTGGAGACTCCGACACTATATAGCAAAGGAGTTCTTTGCTTCAGGTTCGAAGCTCTCAATGTTTTTCTTGTTTGTTACAAGTTTTGTGACAAAGTTTTGTGTTTGCAGGAGTCAAGTGATCTTGAGCTATGGATTGCGAAAGCTCTTGCAAGCAGGATTGCTGTGGCTTTCCGCCAGAGAAACGGAAGGCTCGGCTACCGAAGAAGACATCGAAGTGCTGTGCTCGTTGCATCATCTTCTACAGGCAAGCTTTTCCTTTTCAGTTCTTCTTGGTATTCTCGAGCTCATCAAGAGTTCTATCTCGTTTTCTAGGTGCTTGACGTCTCTGATGACTTCACGCTACCTGCTGATAGCTTCACGCAAGCAAAGTTTAGAAGATGCTTCCTCGACGGTGAATCGTCGCGGGATTTCTCGCGGTCTCAAATTATAGCTGCTAGAATGGAACACTTCTAATCTATTCTGGAACTTTCTTTGACTTGCTAAACAAAGGAATGGATCACAGTTCTAAAGGTATACGAAATCATGCAAGGGTTTAACCGTCCACGTGGCCTATTTGTGGCCGTTTGCCTTTGGCCCTTTTAGAGCCTATAAGGATTTGGGTAGAGTTCGTGGTTAGGGTTTTTGGTGGGGTGATTGATCGGGAGCGACCAATTCCAGCGTCAGGCGCATGCTCTTCCCGATCTGAGGCCAGCATTCGCAATCTCCGCTGAGGTGAGCGCCGCGATCGCGAAAAGAGCTGAGAATTTCGCTGTGGAATGAGCTAGAGATCAAGGGTTAGATGAGTTTCGATCCCGGGAGAGCATCAGAATGTACACCACGGTGGGGCGCTTGAGCAGCTACATCTCACAGGGCGTCTACACAGTCTCGGGGCCATTCCATCCCTTTGGAGGCGCGGTCGATATCGTGGTCGTGGAGCAGCCAGACGGGAGTTTCAAATCCACGCCATGGTATGTCAAGTTTGGAAAATTCCAGGGGGTTCTCAAGCGCAGGGAGAAGACTGTGACGGTGGGTGTCAACGATGTAGATGCGAGCTTTCACATGTATCTGGATCACAAGGGAGAGGCTTACTTCCTCGAGGATGCATCCGACGACGATGAGAAGCAGCCTTTTTCTCCCCCAAGCGGGCCTTCGTCCGGGGACGAGGGGCATGAATTGGCTCTCGAGTATCACAAGTTGGTGGATCAAGGGATTGGCGGGGATGGAAACGATTCGGCGAGCGATGTAGAGGAAGTAGTGGTTTTGAATTCCAGCGAGAGCTTGGAATTGGAGTTTTCGGGAGCGACCAGTAGTGATAGTTTAGGCGGGGTGGCGAAGCCTCATGAAGATGGAGCTCGGACGAATTTACTCGAGCTTCAGGAGGAGGCTTTGGGGATTGCCTCGTCGGGGGCGACGACGACGACACCAGCGGCGGCTCTTTTTGCAAACACCGCGCTGATGGCGATTGAGAGAGTCGCGGGGAAGCCGGTGGAAAATGGAGAGGTGCATGCCTCTTCTCCCGACGTTTTGGAAGTTGACCAAGCTGAGAAGAAGGGAGGGCATGCCGAGAATGGAGAGGTTTCTTCTCCCGACGTTTTGGAAGTTGATCAAGCTGAGAAGAAGGAAGGGCATGCTGAGAATGGAGAAGTTTCTTCTCCCGACGTTTCGGAAGTTGATCAAGCTGAGACGAAGGAAGGGCATGCCGAGAATGGAGAAGTTTCCTCTCCCGACGTTTTGGAAGTTGATCAAGCTGAGAAGAAGGAAGAGCAGATATCTGTGACGTCGCTGAGCTCGAGGAACGGCGACTACGTGATGAATTCTTACGAGGTCACGCGGGCTGTTGATAGGAGCTACGTCATAACAGGAACTTCAAAGGAAGAGGTGCAAAAGAAAGCTATGGAGTTGGAGAAAGAGGTGGCTGGGTTAGATATGAAGCTTGTCAGTGAGGAAGGTTCGCCTCACTCCGAGGCCCTGAGTGAAGGGATTCGGAAGGGTGGTGAAGCGACCGTGGTGGAGGTAACCAATTCCGTTCAAGACATTGCGGGGACCTTGATATCTGAGGTGCCCGATGTGCAGGAGATTGCATCGAAGGAAGAAGTGATATCTGAGTTACCCGATGAGCAGGAGATTGCATCGACTACTTCCAAGGAAAAAGTGATATCCGATGAGCAGGAGATTGCATCGACTACTTTCAAGGATAAAGTAATATCTGAGGTACCCGATGAGCAGGAGATTGCATCGACTACTTTCAAGGATAAAGTAATATCTGAGGTACCCGATGAGCAGGAGATTGCATCGACTACTTTCAAGGAAGCAGTGCAGGAAGCCACCGACTTGGCGACAAGCTCGGATAAGATTTTGACCGGCTTTGGGGGGAGCTCGTCGTCTAAGGTCTCGGAGGAACAGGAAAACGCATCGACTGATGTGATACCTGTTAAAGTGACCGAGGTAGCAGAAGAACAGGTTGTCAGCTCGAATGGGGCCGGAACTGAAGACGAGAAGAAAAGCTCGCCGGATAAAGTGGAGACCACGTCGATAGACGCGATCATTACCGAGCCTTCCGATGATGAAGCTGGGGAGTTAAAGCAAAAGGATGGAGTGTTGGACAAGGCCCGCATTGAACAGGAAACTCCATCGGCCGATGCGACTGCTGCGGCAGAAGCAGCGGGATCAGCAGCAGGAGCACAGAAGCTGAAAGCAGCGCTTGATAGCAATGTTGAGAGACGAACTTGGGGGTGGTGGGTCTGGGGGGGTGGCTCTTCGAAGCCAAAGCTGGACTCTACCACCTCCAAGGGCAAAGCTGACGAGGGAGAGGTGGTGGCCGTTACAGGAAAAGAAAGTATTGTAAACAGTAAGGTAGACCTTTCCAGCGCCGAAGTTGTACTCATGAGCGTCGATGGCCACGTGGTGGTGGCCGAGCACGACGAAACCCCACAAAAGCAAGTACAGCTTCAGGAGATTCAATCAGCACCTGTTCAAGTCCTTGAGAAGCAGATGCTGCAAGTGAGCGAGAGCACCAGCTTGAAGGCTGGTCCGGAGTCGGCGATCGAGATCTCAGAGCAGAAGATTGTCGCGACGGAAGCAGCGTTGCACAACTCGATTGCTACTGGGCTCATAAGAAACGGCTACTGGACCTCTTGGAAGCTAACGTCTAATAAGACGCTCATTCCCACTTCCGAGCAGCTGGCGTCGCTCAAATTGAAACCGGGCAGAAACAAGATAACATTCACGTTTACCACTCGTGTTCTCGGCAAGCAACAGGTAGGTAGTGGTGTTTTGCTCTTGTTCGTTTCTTACTGATGTTTTTTTCTGCCTTGTCTGGTTCAGGTGGATGCTCGCATTTACTTGTGGAAATGGAACACTAAAGTTGTAATATCGGACGTGGATGGGACTATTACAAAGTAAGTCTTGTCTTTGATACCACGGCTAGAAACTTGGTGATTTTTGACTGCAGGTCCGATGTGCTTGGGCAGGTCATGCCTTTGGTCGGCAGGGACTGGACACAAACTGGAGTTACACGTCTTTTCTCTGCCATCAAGGTTTGTATCAATCCTGTGGATTTTCCTACGAGTTTCTTATGAGAATATTGCTGCAGGATAATGGCTACGAGCTTATATTTCTTAGCGCGAGAGCCATTTCACAGGCATACCTCACACGGCAGTTTTTGGTGAACTTAAAACAGGTACGAGAAGAAGCATTTTTATTTGATTATCCCGGCGCTAATTGTCTGTTTTGAAATTTGTAGGATGGCGAGGCCCTTCCAGATGGACCAGTAGTCATCTCTCCTGACGGCTTGTTTCCTTCACTCTATAGAGAAGGTATTGTTGTCTTACATTTAGTGCTAACGATTGCTGGCGCTTCTCCTCTCGTGTACAGTTATACGCCGAGCTCCTCACGAGTTCAAAATTGGATGCCTTGAGGTTAGTCTTTCACCTTTGCTTTTCCTCGTTATCAATATGTACTGATGCATGCTCCTTTACGCTCAGGATATTAGAGCTTTGTTTCCCCCCGAATGTCAACCGTTTTATGCGGGATTCGGTAACAGGGACACGGACGAAATTAGCTATTTGAAAGTTGGGATACCGAAGGGGAAGATTTTCATTATAAATCCCAAGGTACGGCTCCCATCGTCTTTTCCTTGATCTCAACTCTGCATTTCAGGGGGAAGTAATTGTAAATAACATCTTGGACCTGAAGTCGTACACCTCGCTTCACAAGCTCGTGAATGATATGTTCCCTCCCGTAAATTTGACGGAGCGGGTAAGCTGATTTAACGCTTCTTCTGTTAAGGCGCCATCTCATGGATGTGTTTCCTGTTTGTGCAGGAGGATTTCAATTCTTGGAACTTTTGGAAGATGCCACTTCCGGATGTTGACGACCTTTGAAGGAGAAAATATTTTTTGTGAGGTACCTTGACCGGGACCCCATTTTCGCCCTCGGAAATTGTTTGTACAGTAGAATGCACACAGATAGAAACCGCCGGCATTCGGCGGTCCGGGAGCTGTAGAAATCACGAGAAATATTCAGAGGGGCCAATAACCCAGTCACGACTGGGCTACCTACAGTATTCATCAGTAAGACGTTGCTTTCATTCTTATTTTTCTTATTTGTTTGATCGATCTTATAGTGTACAGAGTATCTTATCTGTGAGCTTTAAGCAGATGTTTGTTTATAAGTTTTTGATCGATCAGAGGGGAGATCTATGCGGAACTCCTTTCCTTCTCTTGGCACTCCTGGAGGAGCACCTCCTGGGGGGTGTTTGTGGTGAGATGGAATTGATACTGTTGACAGTTTCTTTTGGTTCGTCCTCAGCAGCAGCAGCAGCAACAGCCATTGGTGACGACATTGAATTGTTAGAAACAGTGCTGCCGTCTGGCGAAAGTTCCTCGTCCTCTTCGATGCTGTTCTGGAGAAGAAGTTGCTGCTCGTGTTCCTGTTCATCACGAGCGGAAGGCAATCTGGTAAGTGGTCTTTTGCTGGAGGAGCTCCTCGTTTTTCTCTTTTGGCCTTGAGCCGTGGTCGCTTGTCTTTGCTGTTGTTGGGTCGCTTGCGGCTTGCTAACAGTGTCCTTTGCGCTTTTGTAGTGCCTCTGGATCCACTCCAACTAGAAGCAAAGGTGGGGAGAGCATCAGCGGGATAACCGATGAGACGAAGACAGGGAAACATAATACCTTGCAGCCGAGCGAGCAAAACTTGAAGGTATCGAGCAAGCTTCGATCGCAAATCTCACAGGTGTTTGTGACTCCCTTTGCGTGGCGTGGCTGCGGCCGCTGGTTGAGGAAGACAACGCGAGCGCTGTTGATAATGTAGGATTGGACACCGCTCAAGTCGAGACACTTTTGGATCTCCGACACGCGAATTACGTCGTGGTACGATGACCTCCGGATCTGCATGGCAGCGAAAAGAAGCAAAAAAAGAAAAAGGAGAGAGTTTTGATCGCGAGCTTTATAAAGTTTGCAAAGAAAGAAGCAAGGAAACGAAGAAACGCTGTGCAACAAAGCTATGGAAGAACTGAAACGAAGCTATGGAAGAATTGAAAAGCAAAGAAACGATGCAACGAAGCTATGGAAGAATTGAAACGAGGGAAGGGATTAGAAGGAAAAATTGATCATGGCTTGTTCCAATTGGAATCAAGATGAGAGCTCTTTCACTTTGTTCGTTTATCAGCACTCATCATCTCATTGTTTTGATCGATCGCGCGATCAAAAGGGGAATTTTGGAATTCCGGAACTCAAATCGTGGCTGGGAGTGAAATTGCGATCAATGCAGGCTGTTCTATGTGCGCTAAGCAGCGGCGAGAAAACCCACGAGCGCGATTTTGCTAAGCAAATCCCAGGATCACGTAAAAAGCACCAAGAACACCAAGAACAGGGGAGGACACGTTTCTGGGCATTCAAATGGAGGGAGGAGGAATTTTCTTACCTGGACGATTCGGTGAGCTCGATGGTAGGACGTGCAAGCGGAGCAGAGTGGATTCTTGGCGCAGTCGAGGCAGAAGAGATTGCACTCGCATTTGCTCGATTCGGCGGAGCTGTGGATCGAGCAGGGCTCGAAGAAGGCCGCTTGGAGCAGTGGTTTGAGCCAAGCTGGACCCATCAAATCGCTGGGCGCTACAGCAACGCTGCCCATTGCTGTCAATCCCCTGGAGAGAAAAAAACACAAGGAAATTTCTTAGAAAATGATCAATCGATCACAAAACGATGAGATCGTCGAGGGAGTAGAGCAAAGAAGAAGGAAAACTCCAAGCAAAGAGAAGCGCCATCGATTTGATCCTCACGTTTTTTTGTTCCTTGACAAGAAGAGTGTGATCGTTTCCTTTTTCAAGGGGCGATTCGCGCGCTAGTACGCATTGCAATTGGATCTCCGGAGCTCCTCGCCAAGAAGCCGCGATGAGAAGAAAAAAGAATTCGCGCGACCGCGCAAGAATTTATACGCAAAAGCAAGACCTGGCTCTCAGGCGATCGAAGCGATTCGAATTCCAGCGATCAGAAACGATGGATCGATCGATCGACGGGGAAAGAAGAGGAAGAAGAAAGGGAAGAGAAGAAGGCAAACATTTGAGAACAAGATTGATAGAAATTAATATCACACAAGACACACCCACACAGCACACACATTACATGTTGCCTTGCATCAAGGCCGGCTTGGGGCCGCCGATGCCGTCCATTCGCTTCATCCGACGGCCGCCAACGCCTCGGAATTGCCACCGCGCTTCCCTTCCTCAGAAACACCGTCGGATTCTAGCGGCCATTTGACGGCCCACAGCGAAGAGCCCACCTGGCCGTCCGATGCCGCATCCGACGGCTGGCGATCAACAAGACGCGCGCGTTTGAATGAACGCCCGTTTGGCTTCGTCTTCTTTGTCCATAAGCTCCTAAAACCTTCTTTTCGTTTTCCCTAACCCTAAATACAGAGAACCTATTTTAGGGTTTGGGTCTTAAAACTTTTTGGCGGAATATTCTTAATTCAAACTCCATTAGGGCTGGTAAAGTGGGAGAATATACAGAGCATCTTTTAATTTAGGGTTTTGTCCCCCGCGAGCGAGGGAGGGCATTCTTGGAGCCATGGCGGCGGCGGCGCCTTTGGATTTTCGATTCCTCGACGAGGGGCTAGGCGGCGCCAAGAACAAGAAGCGCAAGCGCGATGCAGACCAGGCGGCGATGGATGTGGAGGAGCAGCGGCAGGAGGAGAAGCGGCAGGCGATGGATGAGGGAGATTCCAGGCCCGTCTACGGTAAGCCTAGCTATGACGGCGTGATCGCGGGGAAGGTGTCGGGGCGCAAGTGGAAGGAGGTGAAGACGTGCCGCGCGTCGGCGCTGCGGGTGAGCGTCAAGGGCAGCAGCCTGGAGGAGCGCGCCAAGGCCAAGCGCATCGCGGCGGAGTTCCGGGAGCGCAAGCAGCAGCTCAAGGAGCAAATCCGGGCCAACAAGGTGGACAAGCGAAAGAGGCTGGAGGAGTACAAGAAGAGGAAGGAGGAAAACGTGAAGAAGTCGGGGTTGAAGCTCCAGAAGGTGACCAACCTCAAGAAACTCCAGAAAATGTCCAAGAGGGAAAAGAAGAAATTGGTGACCGTGGCAGAGTAGTAGTTTGGTGGCACAGCACGGCAATTAAAGGTGGCAGTGTGTCGCTGAAGAGCACAGATCTGGCAGCTGCGAATCGCGAGATCTGCGAGAGAAAGTAAGTGCTAGACTCGATTGTTAGATCGATCGATAGTTTAAATTTTGTTCTCCTGTTTTTTGTCGCTTTAATTCCTTGCTGATGGCTGAGAAGGACCAGAGATTATCGCCGGGCTCTTCTCTCAGACCGATCAGGGAAAAAGAAAGCAAAGAAAGAAAAAACAATTCTAGCGGACGTTGGAGTAGATGGAAGGCCCAGCTACTCATTCAAGTGAGCTACAGTGGTGTTGATTTCCTCAACGTTTACGAACAGCTCTTCTCCACTCGGTACTTGACTTTCGGCCTGCTCGATTTGGCTCGGCTCGGCTGCTTTAAAGGTTCCTACTGGTTTCTTGGACTGTTTCGGATCGGATCGGATTGGACGGACGGACAAAATCCATTCCCTAGAGTGTTGGAACCCGAGAGCAAGTCGAGAACGTTGGACAAGCTAGAAAGCAAGCAGGAAGGCAACGAGGCAACGAGAGACAAATTCGTCAACTTTTCATTAGATGTACACAATAATTAGCAGCCAGCAGCAGCAGCCGCCACAGCAGTGGCAGCAGCAGCAGCAGCACAGGGAAGAAGGAAAAAACAAGAAGAGCTGGATGATGTCGAAAAAAATGGACGAACCGGCAAGAGATCTCGAAAACTTTGAACGTCCCGCCCCGCTTTCTGAGAAAAAGGAAGAAGAAGCTGAAAGGAAACAAGAAGGAACAGGAAGTGTGTGCTCGCTCGCTCGCTCGTTTGATCGGGCTAGCGAGTTAGCGAAGCTCAAAAACTGGGCGTTCCGGACCAGCCATCGAGACACTTCAACAAGGGAGTAACAAGCTTCCCCTGACAGATGGCATCGTAGACTTTCGTGAAGTCCTCGCCGGGCGTTCCACTCTTGGTCCCCATGAGCAGCGCAGTCCCGGCACCTTTCCTCACAAACTCATACAGCGGCGCCGAGGCACAGTCGAAGATCCGGTTTGGCAGCACCGCGTTACCGCTCTCGTACGCCTCCCTGGCCGCCGGGACCTCCACACTCAACGCCGCCTTGAGCTCCTCCTCGAACAGCCCGATCTTGTGCAACACCGAGGAGCTCGTCTCCTTCTCGTCCCCGATGTTCTTCAGGGCGTGCTCGACGAGAACCTGGCGGAGCTTCTGCATGAGCGGGTATCCAGCGCTGGCCGGATCATCGATGTAGGTGAAGACGTGCTGGTTGTCCACCACGGACAGGAGCTCCTTCTCGCAGAAGCGCGACGGCAGCAGCGCTCCGGCAGCCCCGGTGGTGAGCGTCTTCTTAACGGCGTGAGAGACGGTCTGCTTCACGGTGGCTTGCAAGTTCTCCTCGAGGTGGCGGAGGTCGATGGCCTGGCACAGCGCCACCAGATACGTCGACGACATGAGCTTGAGGATGTCGAGAGCTTCCACCGTCTTGCGAGCCGAGACGAGGCCGAGAGAGTTCACGTCCTGGTTGTGCTGCTCGGCGCTCTGGACGTGGGTGGTGACCGGGTTGGCCAGGTACTGGAGCTCCGAGGTGTACGAGGCCATGGCGATCTCGGCACCTTTGAAACCATAGTCCAAGCTCGGGTTGGATCCGCCGCTGAGGTTGGAAGGCAGGCCGTTGTTGTAGAAGTCATTGACGAGCTCCGAGAACTGCGCGAACATGAGCTTCCCGATGGCCGCCACCGCCAGGCGCAAGTTATCCATGGACACACCGATGGGCGTCCCCTGGAAGTTGCCACCGTGGAGGGCCTTGTCGCGAGCAACGTCGATGATCGGGTTGTCATTCACGGAGTTGATCTCGCGCTGGATGGAGTGAGTGGCGTGGCGGATGACCTCGATCTGGGGGCCGAGCCACTGCGGGGAGGTGCGCAGCGCGTAGCGGTCCTGCTTGGGCTTCTTGAGGGGGTCGGTCTCGTGGAGCTTGGCGGCGGCCTTCATGTAGGAGCTCCCGGCGAGGACGTGCTCCATGATGGCGGCGGCCTCGATCTGGCCGGGGTGGTGCTTGAGCTTGTGCGTCAGCGGATCCGTGAACTCGGGCTTGCCTTGCATCGCCTCGCAGAACATCGCGGACAGGATCTCGGCCAGGAGCGCCAGGACGTTGGCATCGAAGCAGGCGATGGAGGCCACCGCCGCGCCCACTGCCGTGCCGTTGACGATGGCGAGGCCTTCCTTGGGCTGGAGCTCGAACGGCTGCTCCACGCCGACGAGCTTGAGCGCCTCGGCGCTGGTGACGACCTTCCCATCCGGCAAGACGGCGCGCGCGTTGGATCGGCCGGTGAGCAGCCCGGCAATGTAGCTGAGAGGAACGAGATCGCCCGAGGCAGTGATCGTCCCGCGGAGTGGGATCCGCGCCACGATGCCCGAGTTGACGAGCTTCTCCATGGCGGACAGTATCTCCCACCGGATGCCCGAGTAGCCCTGGAGGAGCGTGTTGGTGCGCACCAGCATCGCGGCGCGCGCGAAGGCCAGCGGGAGAACGTTGGTCGAATCGTCCTCGCTGAAGATCCCGGCGTTGAGGAAGCGGATGAGCTCGCGCTGGAGCTCCACGCCCTGGTTGGTCCGGCGGTGGGAGGTGGCGCCGAATCCAGTCGTGACGCCGTAGGTGTCGGTCCCCTTCATCGCATTGTCGAGCACCCAGTTGGAGCTCTCGTCCACCCTCTTCTTGGCAGCGGCGGAATCCAAGCGTACCTGGGCTGCGGCGCCGCGCTTGGCCACCGCCGCCACCTGGGCGATGGTGAGCGTGGTGCCCTCAATCGGGAAGCTGGGCTTGGCGGCGCCGTAGACGGTGTGGACCATCTCGCGGACCTCCTCGAGGTGGCTACCCGACATCGCCGCCGCGGCCTTCTTCCAGCTGAGGGGATCGGAGGTGTCGTAGCGCGGAGTGGAATTGGGGAGGCAGAGCGTGGGATCTGGCGACACCCGGACGAGCGGCGAGTAGGAGGAGGTTGTGTCGCTGCCGTTGGCCACCATTTTCGCTTCTTCCCTGTGAGCTTCTCCTGGATCGATCGATTGAGGGAGGATTTGTCTAGCTCCTGCAGCAGGGGAGGAATGAAAAGCCCAAATTGAGAGCGCCGCTAAATCGAGCTCCTGCCAATGCACAAGACGAGGATGCGTGGAATCGATTGCCCGGCCTTGCCCTGTTCTCCGATCGAATCGCCCTCTCTTTGCTCGGATCGAATCGAATGTTTGCGCTCTTCTTTGTGTGTTCTTCCTCTTCTTTTGTGCGTTGGAAAAAGAGAGAAGAGAGAACACTGATCTGTGCCAGCGTTTGAACTACCCTTTATACCCGCGCTGCCGCCCTCGGATGAGGGCCCATCCGACGGCTGCACTGTCATGGCCATGGCCATGACCGGCATGACGTGGCAGACCGGATGCTCTAAGAATATTCCGGGCCGCGTGGGCGAATGGTCACCAACCTACGGCGGAGATGACCGGGCAGTCAAGCAAGCGCTGCGCGCCGCGCGTTCGATGCGGTCCATGCTGGGCACTTCCACTGCTAGTTCGCTGTAGGGAAATAAAACACATGGGCCAGTCAACGGTAGAACCCGCACCACTTCCGTACGAGCTGTGGGAATTGTTTTATTGGGTTTAGAGCCTAAATTAGCATTACCACCTTATCAAAGTAGCATTTAAGGAATTATGCAAACAATGGTAAAATGCACCTTTTGAAGAAGAGTATAAAGTAAAAGCAAATGAGATTTAAATATGGTGGTGTGAAGGTGGTATAAGTTATGTACCGTAACTTGAGTCTTAATTGAGGTGGGGGGAAGTTAGGATATTCTAATGGGGACATCCCTATCTACCAACCGCGGCGTCCAGGTGGACGGCCGGATTGTCAAGCCCGCGTGGCGGACGGGTGGATGGACTTGACCCGCCGGCAAAGCCCTACCTGCCGGTCAATGCGTGGCATGGGGGGCATGGGGGCATGGGGCCATGGGGGGCATGCTGGGTCATGGTGACGTGGAGCCCTAAAAGGTCGATGCGAGGTGACGTGGGCAAAGCACCGCCTTTGTATGTGTTGTATGATTCTCTTCCACGTCGCCCTGCTAATATCTTTTTTCTCTACTTTCTTGTGTGTGTGTGTGTGCGTGCGTGTGTGGGGTTGTTACGTGCTGCGAGGAGAGACCAGCCATCTCCCCTCTATGTTTCAGTTTTTTGTTTGCCCTAGAGTTATTTTCTCTCTTCCTTGATTTTCCAGGCCCCTCTCGTCGCTCCAGTCCAGGGGATTCTGCAACACACCACATGCCCAGGTTGGCGAAATCGATTCCGACACAATCCTTCTCGAGCGGCTCGAAACTTTCCGCGAACCCTAAGCTCCTAAGCATTGGTCGTGATTTTCAGATCCAGGTGAGAACCAGCTAACCCTGCATGAAGACATTAAATTTAAATACCGAGGCACGAAGGCAGCACGGTACGGGAGGCAAACGCCAGAAACCTTACAAAAAGAACGATTATTAAGATCGATGTGTTGTGTGTGCGTGCCAAACTTCAACACGACTCTCGATCCAACGGACAGTCGAAAGAGGGTAACGTGAACAACGTGGGATGCCTCTCATGCACACATTCTTCTCGTTGTCTCGTTTGTCCTGCTGTATCGCCCATCTCATCACTCTAGATCAGTCAGGGCCGTAAATCAAGTGAAAGGTAGCGCAACAAAGAAAACCTCGTTGATCTACTTGTAGAACCCTTATAAAAATCATACATAGACTTTAATAGTATAAATTATTTAAAGACTTTGGTTGAAACTGGATGTTCACTTGTTGACCGGTCAGCCTCTCGTGCAAGGAATTCGCAGACTTGGGTAGATAGATAGATGGATAGATAGACGCAGGACTTCGTAAGAGATTAACGGATTCGCGTGGCAATCTTTTTGCCCGGAGACAACAACAAGAGTGGTGTGGGCGCACCCACGAAAGCTTTGCTCTCCTTTTCTGGGTTTTCTGCCTTTATCAGCAAAAGGAATGGTAAACGTTTAAAAAAAAAAAAAGACGCTATTTGTGTGTGTCTCTTTCAAGTGGCATTTGTTTTACACGACACACTAGAAAGTGAAATCTTGTGCTGTGCTGATGATAGCCCACACCATCTATTATGAATCCATCCCAAAGCAAAAATCTAGATAGTGACAATCAAGTGCGGGATACCTACCCTTCAAGGGCGTCCTGTGGAATCTAACAACCTCCGCAAACGATTCGCTGGGCTCAAGATTGTGATTCGGCGGTAAAAAGCATAGTAAATCCTCCGCCAGCTTTTCAAAGGACATAATACCGGCACTGGGAATCTTGTCCCGTCAAACGTAGGTCTTTGATTCCATGCCAGATCAGAGCCTAGCATCCTGGAATTCCTTGCTGGAAAACATGGCATCTTGTTCCTCTTTCGACGACACAAAGAGGGTGTTTGATTCCATGAAGAGAAGGAATCTTTTCTCTTGGACGGTGATGCTAACGGGATATGCCCGAACTGGGGATCTGAAGGGCATGAACGCTATGCCCGAGAGGAATCTCATGTCGTGGACGGTCGCGATTAGTGGGTTTGGTTCCAACGGCAAGATCCAGCAAGCAAAGAGTCTTGTTTGACTCGATGCTAGAGTGGAATCTCGTCGCCATAAATGGGCATTTCTCCAGAAGGAAGGCTATCTCGCGAGCTTACGCTCAGGAATCAACGATGGTAGCGGCATTTGGCCAGGATCCTCTTCTTCTGGGCGAAACGAGAGATCTCTTTGATCGCATGCCGGAGCACAACATTGTGTCATGGCCAGTGATGCCGACGTCATACGGTCGCGCTGGACACGTCACTCAAGCACAGGGCATCTTTCATCAAATGCCTGGACGAGACCTGGCAGCGTGGAATGCCATGCTGGCAGCATTGCCCAAGATGGGCAAACCTTACACGTAATTAACTTGTTTGGGCAAATGCCTGTGCACGACGTAGGATCCATGTCAGTCATGGTAGACACGCTGGCACGGTGTGGAAGCTTGAGGAAGCAAAGGAAATATTTGATCAGTCCGCGCTCGGTACAGGCTACTAAATGATGCAAATGCCTGTGCACGACGTAGGATCCATGTCAGTCATGGTAGACACGCTGGCACGGTGTGGAAAGCTTGAGGAAGCAAAGGAAATATTTGATCAGGTCCGCGGCTGGTGCATCTCCTCTTGGACGTCGATGATCTTTGCATATACCTCGTTCGGGTATTTTGAAGAAGCAGAGGCTTTATTTTATACAATGCCCGAAGTAGATACCATAGCCCGAAACGCATTTATTTCATCTTTAGCACTTAATCTCAAACTTGCTAGTGCAGTTCGTGTTTTTCACAGGGCTAACCAGAGAGACATAACAACTTGGAACACCGTTCTTTCTGCATTTGCCCGCGATGGGCATCTGCAAGAAGCTGAAAAAGTTTTCCGATCGATGCCGGAGCGCGATCTCGTGAGCTGGAATTCAGTGCTGGAGGCATATGCGGGGCAAGGCAAGCCAGCCCAAGCGATCGGATTCTTCTACGAGCTTCAGCAGCAGTGGATCCCGAGCGCAATCAGCGTTGTTTGCTTCTTGGTTATGACACGGGACTTCGGATTGGAGGCAACCAAGCAGCACTACAGCTGCGTGATCGATCTCCTGTGCCGGGCAGTCGTTTTGGCGAATGCCCAAGCCGTGATTGCTGAAATGCCCAGCGTTCCTGATCTTGTCGATTGGCATTGCGTGCTCGCGTTTTGTTCCAGTGACAAAAACCTTGAACAAGGAAGAGTGTGTGCCATGTCTGTTCTTGAGATGGAACCAAACAACGCTGCTGCTTACGTCTCGTTGTCACAAACATTGATCTAAACTCCCCGCCAAGATTTAAACTTTGGGCTGACGTGGCGCGCATTTATTGGTAGCGGGTTGCCTCGGCTCGGAAGGAACCCTAGAAAGGGATCGGATGTGCGCAAGATCCCAGGAGCAGCAAGGAGGAGCAAGAACAATCTCCTTCCTCCATGGCCGCGGCTGGGTGAGGAAGATGATCAACAATGCATTGCTGGAAAAGGTGTCGTCGTCATCGCCATCGTCTTCTTCTTCGTCGGCTTCCGGTGGTGGTGGGAATGACAGTTGAAGGAACTCCGGGGAAAGCTCCGGGGGCATGATTCCTGTGGAGCCACCGTCACCTCCCATTCCACCAGACACCCACGTCACGCGCTCACACAAGAAATCGTCCAAGCACAACTCTGGATCGAGCTACTCGCTGGGTGACACGAGCCGGAGATGGGGTGGTTCCAATCTCGGGAGGAATTTGTCTTCTCCTCGTGAGATCTCCGAGGAGCTTGACAAGTTCGTCATCGGCCAGGAACGAGCCAAAAAGGTGTGATAGTGCTCGTGTTCTTGCTTTTATCTTAACGTTTGGTTGTTCTTCTCTTCCAGGTGTTGTCTGTGGCAGTCTATAATCACTACAAACGGATTTACTTTGAGAGTTTAAGAAATGAAGTTGCCAAAGCCGCTGTTATGGGAGAGTACGCAACATTTTTTCTATTCCTATACCAACAAGTGCTTGCATCGTTTTTCAGATCAGAGGAATTTAATGAGAGCGTAGCATTGAATGCCAATGCGTCTCGAGACGATGAAGTTGAGCTTGAGAAGAGCAACGTGCTGTTGCTCGGTCCTACTGGCTCTGGTACCGATGCTTTACACAAGATTCCATGCAAGCTCATCTTGATTTTTTGCAGGGAAGACATTGTTAGCTAAGTCAAAGTTTGTGAATGTTCCCTTCATAATTGCAGATGCTACGACGCTCACACAGGCAAGATTCAATCAACAAATTTTCTAAGATGCATGCAAGGAAATTTTGTTTGAGCTTGGCTCCTTTTTAGGCAGGGTATGTTGGAGAAGACGTGGAACCGAGTTCAACGTAAATGCAGCTCAGCAAGGAATAGTCTACGTTGACGAAGTCGACAAAATTACCAAAAAGGTATGATCAAAATCCATTTTTCTTTCTTTCTTTCGGCCTGACTTTTCTCCAGTGCAGTCAGAAAGCCTCGACATTGGAAGGGACGTGAGCGGTGAAGGTGTTCAACAAGCACTGCTCACAATTTTGGAAGGAACTGTAAGGAGCTGAAATTCTATTCTCATTGCAAAGGCTTCTGGGGTAATCAACTCGTTCAGTGAGTGTGTACAGATTGTTAACGTCCCTAAGAAAGGAGCTAGAAAGCATCCTCGTAGCGATCACACCCAGGTTCGCTGTGGGGTTCTATCTTTCAGCTTTGATTTATTTAACCATGCCTACTTTCAGATTGATACGAAAGAAATCCTTTTTATATGCGGGGGAGCTTTTGTGGATCTGAAGAAAACGATTGCAGAGAGGTTAGTGGTTGCAAAGATTTTAGTTATCATATCTAAAGCAATATCCCAGGAGACAAGATTCGTCTATCGGTTTTGGGGCACCAGTGCGAGCCAATATAAGAAACAACGGTGGTACAACCAGTGCGACGGTTGCTTCATCCTTGCTTGAAAAGGTTTGGTCCACTTTACGGCTTTAAAATTTAGAGATCTCTCTTTTCTCTTGAGTAGGACGAGAGCAGTGATCTCATTTCATATGGATTGATACCAGAGTTTATTGGACGCTTTCCAGTGATTGTGAGCCTTTGTGCTTTGAACGAGGATCAAATGACTTATATTTTACAGCATAACCTTTGCAAGCGGGCAGGTTCTCATGACGCGTAAGAACGCATTGGGGAAACAGTACACCAAGCTCTTTGCAGTGAACGACGTAAGAGATGTCTCAAAACCAACTCAAGATTGATCATGGCTTGTTCCAATTGGAATCAAGATGAGAGCTCTTTTACTTTCTTCGTTTATCGTTTATCATCTCATTCTTTTGATCGATCGCGCGATCAAAAAGAGAATTTTGGAATTCCGGAACTCAAATCGTGGCTGGGAGTGAAATTGCGATCAATGCAGGCTGTTCTATGTGCGCTAAGCAGCGGCGAGAAAACCCACGAGCGCGATTTTGCTAAGCAAATCCCACAAAGCACCAAGAACACCAAGAACAGGGGAGGACACCATTTAAATGGAGAGAGGAGTAATTTTCTTACCTGGACGATTCGGTGAGCTCGATGGTAGGACGTGCAAGCGGAGCAGAGTGGATTCTTGGCGAGGCAAAAACAAGACGGCTCTCAGGGCGATCGAAGCGATTCGAATTCCAGCGATTAAAAGAGATGGATCGATCGTTGGACGGGGAAAGAAGAGGAAGAAGGAAGGAGGCAAACATTTGAGAACAAGATTGATAGAAATTAATATCACACAACACACACAGCACACACATTACATTGCATCAGCTGATGCCGTCCATTCGTTTCATCCGATGGCCGCCAACGCCTCGGAATTAAACACCGTCGGATTCTAGCGGCCATCCAACGGCCAATAGCAAAGAGCCCGCCTGACCGTCCAATGCTGCATCCGACGGCTGGCGATCAATAAGGCGCTTTACAATAAGGAAAATGTGATTGGAATTTTTCATATGAAATGGAATACATAAATATATATATAAATTAGCTTTAAATCCCTAATTTATATACAGAAGTGAATGGTTCCGATTGAAATCAATTTACTACTACTAAAATCCCTTTACATAAATATTATTATTCATAACTGTACATTTGGACCTTACATCATCCCTTCCTCTCATAATGATAAAAGACTATTAGGGTTCTCTCATGGATAGGCTAGGATCTAGAAGAATATCAAGAGGAGGCATTAGTGGATCTATATGTAGTATAAATTGTTTTTTATCCCTTTGTATGAAGTGTTTTAATTGTTGCACATACATAATTTCTGAAGGATTAGCTTGTTAAATGTTATACCGAACGTCATAAACTTATAGTTCCACTTGCCGCAACACCTAATATAGTCCTTTTCACTAAGCAAGGAACCTTAAATAAACCATGTGCATCGATAGTTCGTGGCAATTGCAAAAGTAAATTCAACTCCATTGGTAATATTGGATCATGACCATATAAGAGTTTATATGATGAAACATTAATAAAATTCTACACTTTTGTGACATACACATATTGAAGAAATAACAAATAACAATCTCAATTTGAACGTTAAAAGTTTACGTACTTCACGATCATCCCTTTGAAAGTTAGAACAAACTATTCCACCAAACTGTTTAATTGTGGATAAACACTTGTGAAAGTGTGGCGTATCCCCAATAGAGACATCAAAACATGAAATACCTTAGTTATAAATGCGGGACCATTATTTGAAAGAATTTGCTCTGAATAAAAATGCTAGAACACCATTTTATTGAGGAGGAAGTATCCAACAGTAGTTGCAGATGCGCTAGCAAGAGCATTAACTTCCACAAAATGAGTTAAGTAATTAGAAGCAATATAACATACTCATTGCCAATAGTCAATCATAGAAAAAGCCCCATTAGATTAAACACCACCAATTCAAATGGATAGGAAACTGCAATTAACTCCAACCATCTTTCTGTAATATGAGAGGGAATATTACAAGCTTGGCATCAAACATAGCTATGGATATACTAGATAACATTACGTCACATCTCTAGCTAATAAAAAGACCTATATAGCTTCTCAGTCATACAACGATGTCCTATATGCTTGCCTAAAATAAGAGAATCATGGTAGGCTATGGAGAAAAGGTGGAATAAAGATTGAAAGCATCATTAGTTGTAAATGATCATCAAAAAAAAAAAATTGTTCTCAAAGCGATAAAAAAAAATTGTTCTCAAAGCGAAAATGAGAATGTAAATGCTAAAATGGCAAATCATCAGCACGTAATGCAAGATTCTTAAACCCATCACAAAGCCTTTGAATTCACATCTCAATCTTTTAAGTCTCATGAACCTTGTCAAGAGAAGTGGTAAATTTGTGCTCTGCGCCTTGTGGATACTGAACATCAAGTATAGCAACCACTGATGGCATAGAATCCTCATATAAAAACTTCATAGATGCTAGAATAATAAATTCGTTAAAAACATGAGAAGAGAGTGAAGAAGAAAGAGGAGCTCGAAAAAGAATATCAGTATCAGCCATAAAACTCTCTAAGCAATGAACAATATCAAAATCATACATCTAAAGCTTTAAATCCCACCAAGCAATACGACTAACCAAGTTTTTTTGCTTTAGTAATGAAGTAATTGCAACATGATCACCTTTTAATAATGTCCAAGAAACATGTAGATATGTATAAAGTTTCTCAAAACCCCAAAATGTTGCTAAATATTTCTTCTTTATCGTGGAGTAATTCATCTCTGCTAGTTGTAATGTACGACTAATATATATATTGGGATGGCACTAACCAGGCACACTCAGGCTCTCTTGCATCAACATGCTTCCAAAATCGATATCAGAAGCATCCACACACAAAATGAAAAGCCGAATGTAGTCAAGATATACCAAAACTGGAGGAGTCATCAATAACTCTTTGAGATCCATAAATGCCCACTCACAGTCTGCAGATCAAACGAAATAAGACATTAACAACTTCAGCAATGCTCATAATGGTGCAATGCAATCAGAAAGATGATCAACAAAACAATTGGAATACTACACCTTGCTCAGGAAATGCTACACATCATTCACACATTTTAAAGTAGGGAACTTTAGAACAACCACAAGTTTGTCATGATCAATTTGAAAACCCTCACAAGAAATATGGTACCCAAGATAAATCATGTCCTTAGACCCAAATACACATTTCGACTGCTTCAGCTTTAAACTAACTTTCCGTAACTGATCCAACACTTTACAAACATCATGGACGTATTCCTCTCATGCCCCTCCGAATGAATTAAAACATCATCGATGAAGTCAGTAATTACTTCTAGTATATCACAAAAAACCTCGTCCACCATCCACTAGAAAGTTGTTGGAGCAATGTTCAAACCAAACAGCATCACCAAAAACTCCTACAAGCCAAATGGTGTACAAAATATAGTCTTAAAAATATTTTCTTCAGCCATCAGTATTTGCCAGTACCCCGAAGCAAGATTTAATTTGGTGAACCAACAATTTCTCCCTAGACGATCCAAGAGATCAACAATGTGAGGAAGAGGGTATACATCCGGGATTGTCACTTAATGTAATAGATGATAGTTCAACCACTGCAACACAAAGACTATCAAAAGAATTGGAGAAGATAAAATAGAAATATAAAAGGAAGTAATGGGGAAACAAAAGTAAAAAGTACTAAAGTGAGAGGAAAGGAAGAAATATAAAGAAGTATGAGATAAGGGGGAGAAGCCTTAAAGTCACACTCGGCATGATTGCACTGCAATCAATCTATACTAAGGATGAGGTCAAAAGCTTGATTCGGCACCGCCTGTAATGATTGCAACTCAAGCTCAAGATCGCCCATATACATAACCATGTTCACCTCATCCCGTGCACATATGTGTATATTGCCGTTGCCATAAAAAATGAAAATTGGCTTTGCCACACAATATAGATATAGATGGTAACATATGGCAATAGGCCAAGCAATAGAAAATAAACTCAAGTCTATATCAACTAACACAAAGAGAATAATAGAAGATATTTTCTTATAAAAATGAATTTGGAAAGTAAACACTAAATGAACTGGTGCCGAGTGAACCCCTTGATGATACTCTCGAAAGAAAGATGAAGGGATCATTGATTTATTTGCACAAGTTCCCTCTATTACTTGTGTGACTCCTCGTTTTTCAGAAGCATCTCAGTCTTCAAATTTTCCACTGTAGCAACATCAATAAGATGTTATTAATGTCAAGGTCTCCACCTAGGAAGTGGAGATTGCCACTCTGAAAATGCTGATAATGCCGATAAGTGTGACTAACTTCATCACATGCCTAGCAACAAATATCACGGTTATGGCCATGACCATGTCCTCACCCCTGTCCTTAAATTTAGGCAACAGCAGCATCAACCTCTATTAGAATAAGACTATTTCCCATAAGCAGTGGGGTTGAAGGATGTGTAACAAGAAGTGGAATAAGCGACGTTTCATGATATTGTGCTAAACAAAGAGCATTATCAAGGGTGGCTGGAGTTAGTGCATGCACAAGTCCTACAAAATCTTGATAAAATACTAGCTATAACATTCCTAACTTAATCTGCTCCAACATATTTGGCTCTGTATGAAGTAAGAGGCTATAGAAATGAATGCCAAATTGCATCATTAATTTAGATGGCCCTTGATGAAGACAATACAATTGTTAAAAGACATCATCACAATTATTAACATGTATAAATGCACATTTGAAGACATTTGGGAGAATGCTCCAGTCTGCACGAGTGGTTGCGCTCAAGCTATTGTACCACTGCAACACCATCTTTTAAAGATACATGGGAAATTTACATAAATGCCAAACATTATCCCAAAAATGATATATAGCAATCATTATAAAGTGATCAAACCAATGGTATACATCATCTTCAGGATTTTTATAAAAGAATTCTAACCAATGCAAGGATTGGCAATAAGAGCAAGAGGAATTGTACCACACGCTATGAATGTCGCTATCAACTAAATTTGGTTGTTCAATTATAATTGCATAACATTGAGAAATTGCATTAATTGCAACTCCAAAGTTAACGAAGGAGGAGATTGCTACTCTGGCATGAAGATGAATGAAAAAAGAAAAAGCAAAAGAAAAAAAACAAAAGCTAGAAAGAAAAGAAGATCTAGACAATACAAAACCTAAATCTAATTAAAATTCTAAATTTAAGCACTCCTCACGGACAATTAAAGTTGCCTTTCACCTCCACTAATGTGAGTGCATGGAATATGAAAATGGAATATAAAAATATGTATATCAATTAA